AATAATAATAGAGTCAAACCTTCCTTTGAATAGGGATTCAAATAAAAGGTGACTTGGAATACCAGTAGAAATCAATTCCAAGTGGCGACTCTGTAAATAAAATAATCCGTACTTCAAATTTGTCACTTTAATTGGAAAAACTCTTTAACCCACAATCCATAACATTTTACACTTATCTCTTGGAGGGAGAAAAGGGGTGTGACACATATAAATAGCAATATATCTATGTTCGTAAAATAGTATGGCACCCGCAACCTCTAAATCCTAGATCCGCCTCTGCTTTCCAACCATCTTATCAGCAAGATCCAAATATGCCTCCTTAGTGTTCTTCAATGCTTGATTGAGCTTCCAAAGTATCAAGCTCTACTCTTTTCCTATCAGCAAGATTCATTATAAATTGATCTCCTTTTTTTTTTTTTTTTTTTTTTTTTTTCTTTTTTTACTAATTCCTAACTCTAATTTATGTTTTTTAGTTGGCTATCTTGGTTATAAATGTTCATATTATATTCTTACTTAGCTAAATTTTGAGAGTATTATTCATATATGTACATATATTACTTTTGTACATATACAAATCGAATCAACTTAATCAAATTTTATATTTCATCATTAGTCGGTAAAAATCATATTAGATGTTTCCAATAAGCAGGGGTGTTCATGGTTCGGTTTGGATCGATTTTCCCGTAAAAAGAAACCAAACCACGTAAGTCGTTTTTTCAAATATTAGAACCAAACCAAACCAATTAAGTCGGTTTTTTCTTGATTCGGTTTATGTCGGTTTTTCGATTTTTCGGTTTTTTCGGTTATTTGTCGGTTTTTTCTTAATATAAGACATACACTACCAAACACATATTTCGGCGACCACATTTTTAACGTAACACTATCAAATCAATTGCCCTTTGAGAAATCTATTATTTTTCAAGATATATTGATGATAATTGAATCAAATAGTGATGAATAATTTAAGGACTCAATTAAAAATATATTATTTTTAACATGAAATAGATCTTACACTTAACAAAAGAAAACTACCAATCAAATTAGAATGTAAAGGTAAAGACATGTACTAAAAGTGCAAATGATTAACATTTACTATAAAATTTTTGAAACTTTGTATAAAAGTATACATATATATAGGTGTAATAATAAATTTAAAATAGTTACTCCTATATTCGGTTTGGTTCGATTTTTTTTTATTAAAACCAAAACCAAACCAAATTTGATCGGTTTTTAAATTTCAAAACCAAAACTAAACCAAACCAAAAAGTATCGGTTTTTTTGATCGATTTGGTTTGGTTTTCGATTTGGTTCGGGTTTTCGGATTTTTATGAACACCCCTGCCAATAAGTATAGGGTTAGAGGAACTAAATTGCAACAACAATATGTAAAGGTACTCTATTCATGCATCAAAGAAAATAATACTATGTAATTGTGTGAGAAATTAAATAAAAAATTTAACTGACTGCTTCATCAGATATTCTTAATTTTTTTTTACTTATAAGTTAGTATAGAATTAATACATTATTCATGGTTTTAAAAGAACGTTAAATATATTAATTGAAAACTTCTGTTTAAAATAACATCCTTCACCATATTCATGTTTCAAAAAAATTGTTTGTCTTTCAACTAAAAATATTTTTTTGTATAGTATTTCAATCGAAATTCAAAAACTTTACCTAAGATTCAAAAATTATATTTTAATTTAAATTTATTTTTATTACATAGACTAATTAATAATGTCATAAAATTGCTAAATAACTTTTTATTAGTTTGACACTAACCACGTATTTTCTGTTCCAATTAAAATAAATAAAGGAAATAATAGAATTTATTTAAATAACTTATTCTTTTACAATTTTCTTAAATTATGGGCTTCATTAGTTTCAATACATTTATGGCTTATAATATTTTAAGAGAAACCATTTTTGTAATATTAGGCGATGTATTCTTTTTAAGAACTATTATGTAATTTAACGTTTATAACCACCAATAAAATGATAAAAATTTGGTTTGATGTTATCATTTCTCAAATATTTTTTAGTCAAAATTTAATAACTTTATTAATGTTAGAATTTAACTTACATGTAAATCTTCAGAAATTTAATGGATTAAAAAAGGCAAATATTTAGCATAATGGCTAAGTTTTACTTCAAATAACGTCTCTTGTCCAAATTAGATTTCTCCAAAATCTTTTAGATTTTGTCTTAAAAGTGTCAAGGTTTTTCTCAATAAGCCGGTTACCTTAATCTCAAGTTTGACTATCCTTCTTTTAATATAATATTAACATACATGTAAATCTTCAGAAATTTAATGGATTAAAAAGCCAAATATTTAGCATAATGGATAAAATTTACTTTAAGTAATGTTTGTTGTCCATATTAAATTTGTCCAAAATATTTTTAAATTTTGTTTTAAAAGTGCCAAGTAGCCACTCCTTTTTTAATATGCCACTTAACTTAACCACAAGCTTGACTACATAGGTCCTTTAAGTTCAGGTGTAGATCTATTGCAACCCCATATTATACTACTATGATCACATATAATTATTTAAGTTTGCCAAAATTAAGCACATCTGTTGCTACGGAAGATTTTTAGCTAATCCTTACGAGATTACATTTTCGTTTCTCAAACAAAAGCGACTAATTTAAACCTAAAATCAAAATATTCAAAATTACAGAATCAAAAAAAAAAAAAAAAAAAAAAAAAAAAAGCTTAATAAAAGCGCATTTCACATGCATTTGCCCTTATAACAATAATGGTCGCTATCCTCTCTTTTCCTCTTCCCCTCTCCCCTATGTATAATATATTAAAAAGAAGTCGCAAAAGTTTCACATGCACATGCACTTACACACATGACACACCAATTTCCAAAAGCAAAGGCCTTCAATGTGAAAGAAGTTCATTCACACATTCAATTGTCATTACACAGCTAGAGCCTCTGAAGCATCAAATGGAATTATGAATATTCCTAATATTCTACAGAAATGTTTAAGATATTCAACAATATGATTCATGATAAAACAGCCATATCCAGCTTTGTTTCCACGAATGGATGTTGCAGAAGTTCCATTTAAGATCTCACCTGATGGAAGCAAACCAAAAAATTTGTAAAGCTTCAATACCCTACGAATCCAACTAGGCAGCTGTTCTACGCACTTAACTCGAATTCTTGATATGACTTTCGAAACACTTCCCGCCTTGCATCACAGCATAGAAATTTTCAGCGTTTCCTTTCTTGTCTCCACTTGTAGACAGGTTTAGTTGTTGGATTAACAAGCTCATCTTCACGAAGTTTGCGTTTCCTTCCCGATTTCTGGTAACATGAAAAAGTAATTCTAGAATCAAAGCTTACGATCGTTGAATACGACCAAGATATAACTTTAAAATGAATAAACACCTGTAATTCTTTCTGCATGGCCATGTCCATGTATAGTTTCTCTAGATCTCTCACTCTGCTCTTTCTTGCTTCCAACTCTCGGTAAGAGGTCGCTGTCTTCCTGCGCAGGAGATTCCAATAATGAAAAAGTTGACCATCTTTGCCTTGAAACCAAAAGGAAATTAGCGAGCCCATCTATGGAAGTGCGAGAATCCGCCCCTACCCAGCATAAGGAAACAAAACAAAGGAATAATGTCATTCCCATAATCAACTTTTAACCTAGCACTTCTACACCGAGTTTTGAGGCATTGGTGATTCTTCAACAACCAAGAATAGAACTTGTAACAGCTGATTTTGAAGAACAAATAGCAGAAGTGTCAACAAGACGACACTTAAACATCAAGTAATCTGAACAGATTAGGTTCTTTTTAGGCATATCCTCAATGATACTGTTTTTCAGTTGCATTCTGAACAGATTAACTTCCTCCCTGCAGTTACAAATTACTTGATTGGGGTTCAAGTGAAGGGCTGTAAGCAAGAACTACCATTGGCTTAAAAAATAAATGACTCCAATTTTATTTTTATTTTTTAAAAAACAAGGCCCCATGACATGATTGGTCTTTTAAGTAGTGAGCGAGCCTACATCACAAAATGTAGAAGACCACTTTCTAGTATAAAATGGACTAAACCTTTTAAAAAACAACATCAGCCATATGGATAAAGACGATATGTAAGTTCCAATTGCAATTGATGTATTCTTCTACAAATCAGTAAACTAGTAAGTTCTTAAATCCGAAAGAGAAATAGTGAACCGTCATCCAATGCTAATCAATTAAGGAGACACATTGAACCATATATCTGTAATCACACTACCAAGAAATATCTGACAGCCAATGACACAAGGTTCAAAACTCAGTGGATAATGAGCCATCCTTCTACCCATATCCACTTAAATACCAGGCTTTTGTTTGCGGCAAGATCCGAAGCCGTGACGTGCGCCTAACCCACATGTCGCAAGTTGCGCTCTTATCAGTTATCACTAGACCAAAGCCCTAGGGGCGCATAGCCGATTACCTGTTCTTATAAGGGAATTTAGGATCCAGTGTCAAAATCATCATAATAATGAAAACATTTACGCATCACTCAAAAGGGAAAATGCTTGACGAATTCTAAATCGATTGCTCAAAGGTTAAATCTTATACAAGTTCAAAACAAAATACATTAATCTACTTTACAACATAAGAGGAAAAAGCTGACATTACCTTCTAATACTACTAGGCAAGTTCCCATAAGCATCCAGATTACAATGTTCTGAAGCTTTAGATGCTAGCTCTTCTGCCTCCTCCCTGTAAATAAACAAAATAAAGAAAGGAATTTGAATAAGAAACTGCAGCATGAAAAATATATTTTAACAGAAACAGCAAATTTAAAGTGAAATACACATGAAATATGCCATCTCGCAGGAAGCCGCGGTCAGAGTCCAAGGAATTAAAAGAACTCTAATCTAACGTAAACACCAAAATGCAAGGTGTACGATATACTAAATCAATCTTGTTCCCGGCTGTCCAAAATGATTATAGTAGATTCTATATAAAGCTCTTAAGCATCCCCTATATGGCCTCATGTGATCCACTTTCTCAAAAAGGTGGGAATTTGAGAATAGAGAACCAAAAAAGTGATAAAAGATAAAGAAAATGGCAAGCTCTAATCGTTTGAGGCTAAGTAAACCAAGTTATAAGCTGTAAGAAAAGAAAAGATATTGAAAACTACAAATCCTGGAAGGGTGAAATCCTGTTGCACGATTCAACCTTGACACTGAGATCCGCTAAGAGTTAAAACGATTAAATATTTCTGTTACTTAATTTTTGTTTTGCCTTTTATTTTTCAAGAGTCCAAGTTTAGCTAGTTTCAACAATTAAGTATTAATTCAGGCTCTCGAGAGGCTCAGCTAAGGCTGGCATGTGGGCCGGTTAGGCCCGGGTCCGGCCCAGGCCAACGAGCCCATATGGGTAGTGGGCCTAAACGGGCCTAACCGTTTAAGCCCGGGACGAGGGGAGGTGGGCCTACTAAGTGAGCCGGTTCCTTGAAGAAGCCCGTTAGGACCGGACCGTTTGGGCCCGGGACCGGGCGCTAAGTGGGCCGGTTCAACCGGTCCTAACCGGGCCCAATGGCTATTTTTAAAAATTAAAAAAAAATCCAAAAATTTTTTTTAGCCGTTGTAACATTTAAAAAATGGCTGTTGGCCTGCAAAAATAGTCGTTTGGGCTTTCTAAAATAGCCATTTAACCCCCCCAACTTTGTTTTAACCCCAAACTTTTTATAATTACACTTTTTCCCTATTTTCAACTATAAATACCCCCTCATTCTTTCATTTTTCTCACAAAATCATCAATCTCTCTCATTTCTCAAACTCAAATTGAAGTATTCAAGTCTTCACTCATCCCTCATTTTTCAAACTCAAATTCTTAATTCAAGTTAAATCATGCCCGGTAATTCTAGAGTGCGCCCATTTGTTTTGGAACACTTTAATGTGGTAGAAGAAAATGAAGAAGTTTACATAATAAAGTGCAAGAATTATGGTCGAGTCTTCACTCATCATCCAAAGTTGGAGGGCACAGGCTCTTTAAGGAGGCATATAAAGAGTTGCCTTGCGCGTTTTCCAGACATTCGTATTTAAGATTTTAAGTTGATTTGAGACAATTTGTGTTATTTTAAAATTATTAGACGTATTATGCTTAATGTTTTAGTTTGTTAGATTAATTTGAATTATTATGTTGAAGGCATTGAACTTTAATTTGAAGTATTAAATGTAAACTTTAATTTGCAACTTTGATACCGAGTTCATCTTAATATATATATATATATATTATAGATATAGATATAGTATATATAATATATATAAGCTATATAATTTACAAGAAATTGCCTTGGATAAAAAAATAGGCCCGGGACCATTAGTTCGTGGTCACGGTCCTGGTCCGGTTACCTCCAAAAGCCCACGAAACCCGGGACCACATAGGACCGGCCCACGAGGCCCGTTTAGGCCCGGGCCCGGCTCGTTTGCCGGTCTTAGGCTCAGCCATGAGTGCTATTTAGAAATATGCATGCTATTGCTGCTTTATTAGGACAAATGAAACCAGAGGGAGGTAATGTGAGGAGATTATTTTAGAAAAAATACTACCAAACAGTAGGAAATCATTAGTCCTCCATAGACACGGCTCAATTGGTCATATATCAAAAGTCAACATAGATCAAGTGATGAAGTTTCAATTCACGAAGAAAGCTAAACACTAAATACAGTTTGTCAGGTCAATAAATGATTATCAAATAGATATCTCCAAATGAGTCATTTAGTCATATGGTAAACTTCAACCATTTTCTGAAGTTCAATGAGCTTTCAACCCATGAACATGAAGAAAGCTAAAAATTGAATGCAAGTTGTCAATTCAATGGCAATCAAGAAGATAGTTCAAAACGTGATTGTATTAGGCACATTAAAACAAGACTGTAAAGCCACATTTTTCCAATCCTGGACACAGAATGTGCAAAGAGGGGTTAAGACATTCAAGAGGTCTTATTTCTAAATTCTAACCTGTCTTCGGCATAGTAAATACGTCTATTTGATGGCTGATCATCAAGACAGTGCAGCATAGCAGTTAACTTTTCAATTTTCTGCACAGAATAAGAGTTATTGACAAGAAGGAAGGGAGATAGCTCTCAATTCTCTGCAGAGAGAGAGAGAGAGAGTAAATTACAGCATGAACCACAATAGGCAACACCAAACCTTTTTCTCAGACTGAACTTTCTGTAAAATATAGCCTATATCCTGAGTCTTCATTAGCATGAGTTCGTCTTGAGTGTATTTATTTACTTGGCTCCTGCAAACATTGAAACAGTGTCCAACAATTCAGGTCAATCACGATTGAGGAAGAAATTACCTCAACTAACAAATATGATTATTCATATCTTACTCCAATCTATGCACTCCTCCAACAGTTTTTGCTTTAACCATCTTGAAGTAGAACTCATCTGGATTCCGAAATGCTGCTTTTTCCTTGAGTTTCTGTAGAGCAAATAACAAATAGTAGTATTATACACATATCAGATCAACTATAATGTAACAAATCCCTGAGGGCAAGAGATTAAGGTACAACCAAAGGAAAAACAAAAGAACATTTAAGAATCCCTTCAAATTGACTACTTTCAAACACAACCAAGGATTGTGATCTTTTAATACAAATAAACTGGAAAAACCCCATTGTGGCAGGCTGACTTTCATTCCTTCTTCCATCCTTTCTTTCTATTTCTTCAGTGGAATAACAAAGTTGGACCTTGCAGCATATATCACATAACCTTTTCTTTATGACCGAGAAATATGTCGGGGGCCAACCTTTTGGACCAACCGCAGCCTTTGAAACTCAGTAATAATGGGCCCGCTCCTCTACCCATCTTTACCTAAATAGCAGGCTTGATTCGCATGGCACAGGGCTCGAATCTGTGACCACTGACCTAAGTCACAAGTCCCTCCCCACCTTTGCCACTTGAACTAAGACCTGGGGGCAAATATCACACAACCCTTATAGCTTATTCATGTCGCAATCACGTTTGAAGCTATAAAATATTTCAATTTTTCATGGACTGCCAACTGCTAAGTCTAATTCAACTAATTTCATATTTATATTTTCTTCTAACTTCTAACCCGTTCAATTCCTTGTAGAACAAAAAACAAATTTACCTGTAAAGCTAGCTCCTTTTTGTGGAATGCTGTGGCCCGAACCACATAATCTTTGTGTTTCTCGAGCAACCCAAATTTTTTCCTTGCTTGTCTGATAAAATTTACAGCGCAACCCCAAATCAGATTAAGCTAAAGCAACTCAAAGCATAGAAATTAGTATATATGAAAGTAATTAGAGAGTCACTTACGGCTGAGCTCGCTCCTTATGAGCTCGTCTAGGAATAGCATTCTTGAACGATGACATTTTTTATTAATTGATTCACTGAACCAACAATGAACTATTTTTTCAAAGATTTCACCTTTTACCCAAGGAGCAACTACAGAGAACCGCCTAAAATCAGCAAAACAAAGCAATTGTAAAAGACCCACATCAAAACCAATGAGAAAAAGAAAAATATTTGATACAAGAATAAGGAAATCCATTAAGGCTCATATTATAAGTCGTGAGAAAACATACAGTTGAATTTCAGAAATAAAATCAGAGGAGTTTAGTGCAGATAAATATGAGGAAGAAGAAGTGAAAAGGAAAGGAGGGTTTGATAGAGCTGCTGGCAATTAAAATTTGGGCATTATTAATTGGGCTATAGAATGAGAATTGGGCTGACTGAGGTTTGGGCCAAGGTAATTTATTAGGATTTTCAGGGGAGAAATTCAAAAATAGCCAGATTTACAAGTGGTCATTTAAAAATAGTCACATTTCAAAAGTAATCGAAATTTAGCCACTTTTTATGTAAAGATAAATCTGAACGAAAACACTGTTCAAAATTCGGAAAATATTTCAGCATAATATACTGGAGTTCCAGCATACGTATATTGAAACTCCAATATATTATAATGTAGTTCCAGCATAATTATAATGGAGTTTCAACATATTATAATGGAGTTCCAGCATACGTATACTGGAACTCCAGCATAATATACTGGAGTTCAGTATAATATACCGGTCCAGTATAATATGCTGGAAGTTCATATACAGGTACTTCAATCTCCAGTATATTATGCTGGAACTTTTCGCGTGTTGGAGTTCCAGCATAATATGCTGGAAGTTCATACACAGGTGCACCGATCTCTAGTATATTATGCTGGACCGGTCCCTATTGCAGCAAAATAGTGGCTATTTTTCAATGAATTTGCAAACGCTGGCTATTTTTGAATGATCAGTCCGAAAACTGGCTAGCCCGTGCTATTTTTACGATTTTCAGGGGAAGAGCACTGTTAGCCACTATTTAGAAATGTATTCTCTTAAGCCACTATTTAAAATGTATTTAATATTCAACCAGTGATTTAATAGATTTTTACCCGATCAAACAAAAATACCCTTGTGCTATAGTTATAATAACTCAAGTTGCTTCGCTGCATAAACCCTCGTTTCTCGACTCGATCAACTTCGTCAAAATCACATAAGATTATGAGATAGCCGTAAACCTTTCTCCTCCTATTTTAAACGGGAGAGTTCTGCTTTCTCCTCCTATTTCACCATAAAATCACATAAGATTATCCACAAAAAAGTAAGTTCTAATTAATTTTTTAGCTTTTTAATCAATTGTGTTCATAAACCTTCAGATATCTCCATATGCTTTTGTTTGTTTGGGCAGATTTCCCCTTTGACAGTATGTATTCAATATTTTTTATAATATTATGTATTCGAAATTAATATTTGGTATTAGTATCTGTTAATTTGATGATATAACAAACTTAAAACTTCATTATGTAATATTAGTTTCAAAGTATGTCCTAAATTAGCACCTTCAATTGATAAAGTTGAGGACATCGTGTCCTTAAGTTTATGAGTGCTGTGTAAATATTAAGTTCAAAGTGTATCCTGAATTAGCGGCTTCTATTGATAAAATTTAGGACATCGTGTCCTTAACTTCATAAATGTTGTTTAAATATTAAGGACAAAGTGTCCTGAATTTGCACCTTCTATTGATATACTTTAGGACATCATGTCCTAATTTCATATGTGCGGTGTAAATATTAAGTACAAAGTGTCATGAATTTCACCTTTTTCTTGACTTGCATGATGGATACAATATGTATTATTGTTGCTTTCAATGGAAAATGAACCGCAAACTATAAGTAACTGGATCATCAAACAAAGTTTGTTCTTGTACCTAAGGCAATTCGATTTGAATATTTCTTCAACTAGGTCTTTGAAGTTATTGGATTGGATAGACGCAAATTTGAAGCAATGATATCGTTTGATATCAACCTGGGAACAAGCAAGGAAATGCTTGTAACTAAAGATGAATATCTTCAAACATATATAGAGTTATTGAAAAGTTTCACTCTTAAAAGGCTGTCGTTTCATTGTTGATGTTTCGGAAAGAGTTTTTTGCTCTGCAAGAACCTTTGAACAAGTCAACATAGAAACTCAACAAGACAAATAAGACAAATGCCAACAGATAATAAAAATAGATATGGTCAAACCTGAACCAATAATTGAAGGAGTGTTTCAAACATTCAATTCTATTCAAATGGAAGGACAAAGCATTATATAAATTTACAACCAACAAGATTTGGGTATTCAAATCTTAGAGAATGCACCAGTAATTGAAGAAGTTGCTGAGAAATCTTCTACCCAACTAATTAGATGAAGGTCAAGGTCGAAACAAAAAGAATCCTCAACAACAATATTGAGAAAAAATGCTTCTTTGGATGAAATAAAAGTGGGATCAATATTTGACAAAAAAGAAGAAGAAAATAATTAACTTCTTTTCGAACATAGCAATTTGTAATGACCCGGCCAGTCATTTTGAGAATTTAAGCTCTGTTTGGAGGCATAAGATCTTGAATAGCTTCATCTTATGTGTATCGACTTGCGTGCATGGTTGAATTCAGTTACCGAATGATTCGGAGTCGAATTGGGAGAAGGAATCTAGTTTTGGAAGCTTAAACAGTGAGAATTTGACAGGAATTTGACTTTTGAGTAAACGGCTCTGGAATAAGTTTTCAATGACCTCAACAGTTTTGTATGGTGATTTTGGACTTAGGCGTGCGTCTGGTTTTGGATTTGAAGATCCGTAGGGTAAATTGGAGCATTTCGGCGAAAGTTGGAAAAGTTGAAGTTTGAAAAATGGAGAAGTTTGACCAAGAGTTGACTTTTATGATATTGTGGTCGGAATGCGATTCCGGGAGTTGGAACAGCTCCGTTATGTTATTTTGGACTTGTCTGCAAAATTTGGAGTCGTTTCGGGTTGATTTGATAGGTTTTGGCGCGAGTTTTAGAAGTTGGGAGATTTGAAAGTTCATAAGTTTGATTCATGGCGTGATTTGCATTTCCAAAGTTGTTTGATGTGATTTGAGACCTCGAGCGAGTCTGTGTTAACTTATAGAACTTGTTTGTGTGTTTAGACTGGGGTTCCGGAGGCCTCGTGTGTGTTTCGAACAGTTTCAGATGTTTTGCATGGTTTTGAATATATATGATTCTGGTGTTTTCGCACCTACGACTTTGGAGCGCAGGTGCGGCTCCGCTTCTGCGTGAGCCTGATCACATTTGCGATCTTTGAGGCCTAGAAGCTAGCTCGTTTCTACAAATGCTGGAACACAGGTGCGTAACCGCTTTTGCAGTTGATCTATCGCATCTGCGAAGAAGTCCGTTTCTGCGCTCTTGTTATTGCTTTTGCGGCGCCGCATAATGCGGACCTAGGCTTGTAAGTCATGTTCGCAAATGCGAATGTCTGCCCGCAAATTCGATAGCACAGATGCGCTTATGTGTCCGCAGATACGGAAGTGCTGGGTATAATCATTTAAATCGAGGGTTTGGCCATTTTCTTTATATTTTGAGTTTGGGTGCTTCTTTTTGGGGTTTTCAAGAAAATCGATTGGGTAAGTGTTCTTCACCTAATATCTAATATATTCCATGATTTTATCTTAATTTTTATCATTTAATTTGTATTTTGAGTTGAGGAAAATGTTGGTTTTTGAAGAAAGTTTTCAAAATAAAAAATCATGATTTGAGGGATGAAATGATATCAGAATTTGATAATTTTTGTATGGTTGAACTCGTATTAGAATGAGTATTTGATTTTTGTGAAATTTGTCGGGTTTTGAGGCCCGCGCCCGGGGGTCAACTTTTGGACCGATTTTTGGATTTTGTTAAAGATTGAGACTTTATGATTTAGAATAGTTTCTTATGAGTTTTATTTGTGCTTTGAAGTTATTTTGGTTGGATTTGAGCCGTTCGGAGGTCTTTTCACCCGAAAAGTGCATTTTAGAGTATCAGTTTGTCTTCTTTGATGTAAGTATCCCTCCTAATCTTATGTGAGAGATTTTCCCTTAGGATTTGAGTCTTCTATGTTGATTGTAGCCCGTGTATGCGAGGTGACGAGTGCGTACTCAGACTTATTTGTGGAAAGCTGACCTTTTAGGTTCTTAGGTCCTTATATTCACTGTTTATGAATTTGTTCTTGATATGACTAAGTTTCTATTTACTAGTTTCACCTCTACATGCTTAAATTAGAATTAATTGCTTTAGGATTCACTCTTATTGCCTATTTGACTCTTATTTGACTTAATTGAAGATTTTACCTCTTCTATTGTCATGTTATATTTCACAACTGCTTATCTTTAATTGAAATTATCATCATCTCTTCCTTTAATTGTTAGTCTTAATTGAGGCTATGATTATCTTTCTGTTGTCTATCTTTAATTGAATTGTGGAATATTCTTCATAATTGCCAAACCTTAAAAGAAGTATAGATATCCATATTTTAGTTGACTTATCCTTATTTGGAACTATTTGACTCGTGTTAGGTTTCTCGTTGCTGAACTGTATATTGTGGAATCGTTGTGGCATATTAGTTCCCTTTTATTGAGTTGTTCTCTTACGCCTAGCATTCTTTACTGTGGTTATTCCTTGTGAAGGAGTTCTACCGTTTCTTTGTGATTTAAAGTTCTTGAGCTGATTTACTTGTCGTACTTTGTATTATTGTCATTGTTGTTGTTGTTGTTGTACTTGTTATGGTGATGCACGGGGTTTCTGTCGTGCTGTAATTGTTATCTCTGTTGGTTGCACTGCATATTTACTTTGGGACTACGAAATGATATTCCGGGAGATCCCCCATGTACTGCATATTAACTTTGGGACTACAAAACGGTATTTCGGAAGATCCCCCAACACTGCATATTTACTTTGGGACTACGGAACGGTATTCCGGGAGATCCCCTATTGTTATATCTGTGTTCTGAGCTGCTAATCTTCTATGCTTACATTCTTTTAAACATTCTACGTGATGTCCGCTTTCTTCCTTATACTTACTAGCTGGTATGAACTATATTAGGACACTTGCACAGGCATACATGTAGCTAAGCACCCTTATCAGATAAGAGGTTTTCTTGATATTGCCGAGTATAGACACACACCCTTGTTTACTTGCCTTCCATGTGAAAATGGCTCTATTTGGCACGTGAATCATTAGTGCAGTTATGAGGTATAATGAGGGAACAAGATGCCAAGTGTTAGGATTCAGATATTAAGACCCGTATTATATAATTATGAGATGAGGTGTCACAGGGTGACTTATATTCGAAGGATATTTATTTGA